GAGTCAATGAGTCGATGCAATCAACTGGTTTCCTTAGATAGAAAACTTTGAATCAATTTGACTGTATGATCTGGTTGAACTGTAAAGTGCCTTGAGATGACAGGTGTTGTGAGTTGGTGCTATATAAATAATCTGAATTGAATTGAGATCATATCTCTCCTGTCCTGGCTTCTCTTCACTGGCTTCCTGTTAAATCCAGAATAGAATTATCTTATTTTTCCTTTACAGATATTAAATAACAAAGTCATATCTTATATCCCTAGTAGGGGAGCAATGGCCTAGTGGTTAAAGCAGTGCATTAAAGCAGTGCGCTTCGATCCCTATGTACAGCCTGCACTCTGGGTTTCCTGGGCAACACCCTTAAACCCACACTGCTCCTCAAGTGCCGCACAATGGCAGCCCACTGCTCCCCAAGAGGATGGGTTAAATGCAGAGATAAATTTCTCCAGTGTGAGATCAATAAAGTTATTTTTTTTATTATCGAGATATACTTGTTCTTTATGTTCCTAACAGAGCACTTCACTCTCAATCTGCAGGTTTACTAGTGGTTCCTAGAATATCTAAAAGTAGAATGGGAGGCAGATCTTTTAGTTATCAGGCTTCTCTCCTTTGGAACCAACTACCAGTTTTATTCCACTTAAATCAGACAAAACAGCAATTTAAATTGAATAAATTCATATTTCTCAATCTATGTCCATGTGTGTTGTTTGCATGGTTTGATTGAACTGACTCTGTACAGTGTGTAATGAATTTGCATTAAAGGAATGAACTGAAACTGAGCAGCTTTACATCCTCTGATTCTGGACGAGATTGAGGACGTTGCTCCTGGAGGTGGCGGTCATATCCAGCCAGACGCTGGTCATCAGGTGAGCCAGGGAGCGACTTCCTGGGATGTCAGAGCTCCCTCCAATGTAGTACCACCGACCCAACATCTGCAGCACACAGACATTACAGTGTAGTCTATTTTTGAATATGACAATAGTTTAACAGGGGCTCCTTGTTGGTTTTTGGAGGTATTTTTTGGCACATAGGTAAGAAAAAGATGTATGTATAATCCAAAAACTTTTATTGAGAATTGGAGATTCATTAAGACTTTTGGGGAAGTTGTTAATGAAATAATAAGATATTGTGGAACAAAAATTCTGTTTTCCATGTCTGCTGATCAAGTGTGTTAATTATCCAAAAACTTCCTCACTTTACAGGACGGAGCTTTGATTTGTACAGCAAAGACATTATTGGGAGGGTTAGTAAAATATAAAGATCAGGTACTTAAAAAAATATTACTTTAAGCAACAAATTTCAATTATCAATGATAATTTTGGAGAATAAAAAAAACAACAACAATGCTGAACAAAGTGCTTCTGAAGAGGGTTAAATAAAGGATTAATATAAATTCACCTATTGAACCAGCTTGTAGAATAAAATGAAATAAAAGATAAAATATATGGAAATCTACAACTCTACCAGTCTGGTGTGACTTAAACTGGACTTGAAGGTTTAGTGGAGGATGTTCTTTTTCCGGGGGATCATCAAAATAAGTGGTTCTTCTAATTGTCAGTCATTCTGATGAAATGTTTACATAAGGCCGTCCTACGTGCTCACCCCCATTTTCACTTACTAGTGGTGAGTCTGACATAGTGAAAAAAATTGCTAATCTTCTTTTGGAAAGTAAGCTTGTATTAGCGATGCAAACAGCAACTTTTAAACAGAGCATGCATGAGGTGAAATTATCTTGCATGCTTTTAAAAGGCGTTCCTTCTCGGGAGCAGATACAGGGTTGTGCATTTTATTTTATATTTTTAAGTGGAGAGGGCAGGTGTTTTAAAATAATTTGCAAAAATCCACCATTATACCTCCAAGAAACTATACACGCCCACTTTCAAAGATATAAATGGTTTCTCTCCAATAGATGTAGATTGTATTAAATAAGGGGCATTTATTTGGACAATGTATTAATGTGAATAAGCAGCTGAATAAATGACTGTGGAGGTTAAACTTTGACTCACAGTTTAAGACTATTTCTGCTGATGAGATGAAAAACAAAACACAAGATTAACTCCAACACCTGGAATTTCCAACTACGGTAATAATCATCCTATATAATATTTAACAAATGCCACATTTGAAAAATTTCTAGGTTGTCTTACATTTACTTAAATTCCAAAAACATCAGATGGACAATATATCTGCACATTATGTTTCAATCTAAACATGTTACAGTACTGACAGTATTCATGCAGGGACTTACTTCTTCATTGCTGACAGCTATTGCTTTGAGCAGAGTGTCACAGCTGTTCAGAGGAGCAGAGAATCCCAGCGAGATGAGACTCAGCAGCACAACGGCAGAAAAACACTTCATTATCCTAACGAATCTTTGATTATAGTCCCAGAGCCTCCTCCAAGGGCTGCCTTTAAGGTATCTCCTTTGTTTGTTTGCCCTCCAAATGAACTTTGCCTCCTCACTGTATCGCAAATTTTTATTCCAATAGTGCCCCTACCTAGATGAAACATTTATTCGGGGAGTTTTGAGCTGATGCAACCAAAGTAAACAGTTAAACGAAGGAAGCAGACTTTGGCCTTTTTTCAGGACGAATGATCAGATCACGTGGAAGCTTTACAGAACGTTATGCATAGTTGTACACTACAGTAGAGTAGCACATGTAGTTTTATGAATATGATCCTAATGTGAAAATTTCTCAAGCTTCCTTGTAGATTAAATTATTTTAAGCTTGTTCATTGTTTGCTTTATAATAAGGAAAGCTCAACTTTCCTGCATTAAGTTACATTCTTAGGAGGTGGAAATTAGGTGTTTAAAGTTCTCATAGCTGTTATCTGTAATTTGAGGCAATGAAGTAAAACATTTAAAAGGTTTTATCACATTTATTCCAGAACACCAGTCTCTGCGTAGTTTAGCCAAATAAAAAAACATTTTAAGAATGATGCTCTAATGATGCTCAAGAAGGATTCGGGTTTGATTCCCAGCCCAGGGTCTTTCCGCATGGAGTTTGCATGTTCTTCCTGTGTATGAGTGGGTTCTCTCCTGGTACTCCGGCTTCCTCCCACAGTCCAAAAACATATGTTAGGTTAATTGGCTTCTCTAAATTCTCCTTAGGTATTATGTGTGTGAATGGTTGTTTCTCTGCATTGCCCTGCGATAGACTGGCGACCTGATCAGGGTGTACCCCGCCTCTTGCCCATTGACAGCCGGAGATAGGCACCAGCAACCCTCGCGACCCCAGCAGGGATAAGCGTGTCAGAAAATGGATGGTTAATGTAACATTTGACAAAAATTAGAAACAGCAGTTAGTGATATTCTTGACTTTGCTAAATGCTCCTGCGTTGAGTCCAAAGACCATTCCTTATGAAAAGAAATACAGCAACATGAAGTTCAATTTAAAGTCTGCAACAAATTAATGTGAAGGGACAAATATGTGAATAAAGGATGAGAACAGAATTAAAGTTGCTATTAATGTCTGCAACAGGGTAGAGGAAATCCCATGCAGTGGGACATAGAAGGACACCAACACCAAATGTTTTATAACACCCCTATCATTCCAGTTTTTGATTTAAAATGTGTGGTTTGAAAACAAAGAAATGTGGAAACTGGAGTTTAAAATTAAATCAAAGAATGTTGGGCTATTCAGTTAAATAAGGAGAATGAGAGACAAACTTATCAAAAGTGTTTTTAATCAAACTTAACAGACAGCAAGTTCTTAGATGTCTTAATTTCTTACAAGAACAGAATGATACCAAACCATCAATACAAAAAAAACTTTCATCAGACTAATGGTCCTGAATGAACAATGAAATCTCTGAATGTGAGCTAATTGTTGCAGCTTTGCTCTGAGAGATGGGCTGGGACAGGTGGCTGCAGGACTACTGTGTTTACTGGTGGGAGGATAAGAGGGGTGATCAGCTCTCCCTCAGCTCCTGCTCTCCTCTGAGGTGGTGGTGACGTTAAGGAGGATGCAGGAGAACATGATTCTTTCATTTAATTTCCTTCCTCTCCTGCCTGGGAACAAATCGAAGAGAAACTAAGAGATGGACATTTTTACTCCATAGCCTCCTGGTTCTCCTGATCTGCACCCATATCCTCACTAGCCTCTTTGCCCTCTTTGCTCCTTTTACTCTTCTTGTGTTTGTGCCTCCTGTGGCTGTCGCCCTCTTCGCTGTCGTGTCTCCTCCGGCTGCTGCTACTGTAAAGGAGAAAACAGGAGGAGAGTCAAACAAGGACAGAAGACCGGAGGAGAGGGGATAAGCAGCAGGGCACAGAAATTAGAGATGGACAAAAATAGGGGAAGGATCAATGAGACAGCAGGGACAGAGCAGAGACAAGAGGACAAAGAACGACAGAAAGGACAAAAGGGGGATTTAATGAAAGAGGGAGAAAATGATGGAAGAAGTAAACGTATATTAAAAGTTTCTTTGCTGAGTATTTCAGCTTAGAAATTTTAAAAGGAGCTTCAACTGAGTTAACTTCATGAAGTTTTATGAGAACACTGATTAATAGGCTTCAAACAAGCATTAGATAAACTGATCAGGTTTATCCCTGCCAATATTCATTTTATGCTTTCTCTGAGGGTTATTTTAATCAGTCAGACTTTTTTATAAATTATATATATATAACTATATCGATCAATCCACCGAGATATAAATAGTAAGAGCTACATTTTCTTATAGAAATGGAGAGAAAACCACCAAATACAGAAATAAGCGTATCCTAGTATCTGCTAATAGGTGACGAGTTCTCAGGTTGCATTGATGGATTTGTTCGTTTTTATGAAATTATTTAACAGGAAAATAAAAATCACATTTTCCTGTAATATAGCTGCTGATTCTTATTGGAGTTATCATTAAATAAAAAATATAGAAACTAATTGAGTTGTTTGTTTTCTTAATCAGGCAACTGCATATGATGGGCTCCATTGGTTCAACCAGTTTGTTTTCCAACAACTTTGTTAAAGGACATTAAACAGGAGAACCCATCAATTCACTTCCTGCATAAACATCAGATTAAAAGCAATTTTCATTAGGATTTAGATTAAGGGTGACCTGAGATATCAGTTATAGACGTTTGCTTTGATGTATAGATCAGGAGAATGTACTAATCCCTTTATTTCTTGTAAGATTCAGAACTAAAACTTTCAGGAATTGAAACGTCTTTGGATAATGTGGATTTATTAAATGAAATGAAACAAAGTTTAAACAAACCCAGATGGGTCAGTAACCTTTTGCAGCTGAAAAGTCTGGTCTAAGTATGAAAATGTACTGCTGTGCCTGACAAAGATGAAACGCCTCACTCTGATTACCAATAATGTTTTAGATCTCCTTGCTGTGAAAGAAGTCCAGTAACATCAGGATGACGGAGAATGTCCCAATAACAAGTCAGCGTTCAGTGTACCTGCGGGAGGACTTGTGACGTCCCTCCTCTTTCTCGCGGTGCCGCCTCTCCCTGTGTCTCTCCTCCTTTTCTCGGCTTGCCCGATCTCGATGGCGCTCTGCGTAACCGCGTTCCTGGTACTCGCGGTAGCGATATCGCTCCTCATCACTATGTAAAAACAATCATTTTATTCAGACATCAGGTATACAAGCACAGTGTTTGAGTATGGATTTCAGGCCTCCTGGATTTGCTCCACATTTGCTGTGAAGTGAAAGTTAACAGTGCAGGTTTATTCAATTAGAGGCCTTTTTCTGTCAGACATTTATTTTTCTGAACAGCATCAGCCCTGATCTCCATCCTGAACATCAAACTGTTCAGTGAGCTACAGGAAATACACCGTGTGTGTGTGTGTGTGTGGTGTCCTTCTGACCTGGTGTAGCTCATGGTGGAGGGGCTGTGCTCCCTCTCTCGCTCTCGTTCATGGGTCCTCTCTCTGGGTCTGTCTCGCTCTTTTTCTCTCTTGTCCTCACGGCGGGAATAGTAGTCCCAGGGTTTGCTGTTGTCCACCATGGGGGGCCATGGGGGAGGCACACCTCCTGCTAAAGGTGGTGGGTAAGCACCTGCATAGGGAATAATTAGGAATTCAATTTAAATGTTTGCTGGAAATGAGCCACAGATCAGATGGGTTCCCTCATGTGATTAATTTTCTTTTAGGTTTATAATGTGTAAGAAGGAGACTGATGATGAGATTTCTACCTTGAGGAAACGGGTACGGAGGGACAGAGCGCCCATCGTAGCCTCCTGTGTGGCTGCTATGGAAACAGACAAAAGAAGGTTAGCGTTGCTCAGTGGGTGACTGCAGATGTCCTGTTTCTCTAAACATTTACAGTCCTGTGAAAAATTAGAAAACTTCAATAATTATCCTGGTCTTCACTGAGAGATATTCTGATAGATTAGCAATTTAATATGTTTTATTAAAACACACAAACTGATTCAATTAGACATTAAATACCAAAAAAAAATATTTAAATGTAAATAAATTTATTGCCCCACAATAGGGAAGTTTGTCATCTGCATTTAACCCATCACCTTGGGGAGCAGAGGGGTGCCATTGTGCGGCGCCAATGGAGCAATCAGGGGTTAAGGGTTTTGCTCAGGAACCCAGAGTGGATATTCACAACCTTCTCAGAGCTCAAGCTCACAACTCTATCCCACTAGGCCAACACTCCCCTTACCCTTTTTAATTAAATCCATTAAAAAAAAGAAAAAAACACATTTCACCTCCAAAAGCCTAAAATCTACTGCTTGAAACTAATTATTTACGCTGCACTGTTTTTTATTTTTATTTTTTTGCATAGAGGGTCTGCTCCCTCTGCGGACCACTGGACCGGATGCAAGGTATTCCTGCATAGTATATATATAAGAAATCCCCCCACCATTAACTTGCTGCTCTAACAAGCTGAAAAAAAAACAAAAAACATTTTGGTCACTTTAGGCTCAAGCTTGAACGCAGCCCAAGAGACTCTATTTTTTTTTTTTATTATTCCAGCCCTTTGGGTGGAGGTAAAATATTTAAAAGGGGTTTGGTTCCACAAAGAAAAAACAAAAAACAAAAACCTCCAGTAGGCACTTGTGCTAATAGACATAAGCACTTTTCCAAACAAAGGTAACAGTAAAATTGTGCAAGAATGGATTCTGGATAAGCAGACTTTCACACAAAAAAAATATATATAAAAAAAAAAAAACATAAAAGTGAAACATCTACAAGCTTGTGGTAGGTGCAAAGAAAAATCTAAATAAAATAAAAATTTTGACTTTTGGGAAATTCATTGAGCACCAGTTAACATGTTTCGTGGGAAATATTTTCAAATAGATTCCAGATTCATAGCTTTTAATTTGTTGTTTTTTAATGATCTCATATGCTGCAGCAAAGCATCACCACCCAAGCACATTTCAGGCCTAAAACTCTCCTGAAAAGTTGCATTTATCTTATATCAAATATGTCCTAAATGTTAACTGAACCCCCCAGACAACATTATTTCAGAAGTTGTGATCTCTATCTCACCAACTTCAATTTGGACTTCCTGTTCTTATTAGGTAGCTATAAAATGTCTCAGAGTGTAACTAATGTGTTTTAGGTCAAATCTGCTTATTTTTTCTTTTTTCACCATGTTTTCTTTCAGTTTAGTTTAAACCTTTTTAAACAGCATAACAGACTGGTAGGACCTCAGAGTTTAGTGACTCTAAAAAGGAGCCTGTTTACATAACCTGCAGCAGTAGCATTAGCCCCCTGTAAAAACAACAGAAGGTCACAGAGATGAAAACAGGAGTTTTTTGGCCCTTGACCTCGTGTTTTATCTACAAATATAAAGTTCAGCAAGTGAGTCCAAAGTGTTACCTGTCCATTGTGGGAATTAAAGAAGGTGGAGGGCCGCTTGTTGGAGGGTGAAAACCAGGAGGAGGGACTGTAATGGGCAATCCTGTGAGGTAGAGCAAGATGAAAAACATAAACACTCAAAGCAAACACATTCATTAAAAAACTCAAGTGAGAAAATGAACTGACTGGGTGGAGGTATGAGAGGAGGTGCAGTGCTGACGTTGGGTGGGGGAGGGAGGAAAGGAGGTGGGGGTATGTTTGGAGGAATCGGTCCAGGAGGGAAGAAGGTAGGAATCTTAGCTGCAGACGATTCAGCTTCTGACGTCGAATGCTCCGAGATCACCTACACAAAAACAGACAGCAGAGGGCGCTGTCAGCACCTTCTTCAGGGCTTTGAGGAGAGATGTTTCAGTGGCTTCTGTACCTGGATATTGTTTCCCTCCAAGTTGTGTCTGCGTCGCCCCTCAACCCTGCTGATTGTAGCCAACTGACCACCAATCACATCAATCGTACCACTCGTCTTCCTGCAGAGAAAATATTGAGATAAAAACATAAGAGCCAGAGAAGAACGTGGAGCAACTTCAGACTTACAGGCAAAATAGAAAAAAAAAATCCCTTAAGTTTATGATCAGTCTGTTAGAAATTACAATATGATGCATAACTGAGACGTAGCCTACCAAACATCTGTTTTATCAAATTCATGAATAAACCTATAATTCATTAAACCTGCACTATATCAAAACAATAATAATTAAATCAAGCATTTTTTTTATTTCCTGATAGAAAAGTTAATATAATCTGACAGCAAAATGATTTTCACTAAAGATAATAAATCTAAGGCTACGTTCACACAGCAGGCCTTGATCCTCAATTCCAATTTTTAATGAAATCAGATAGTCGTTCACATTTCCAATTAAATGCGACTTGTAAGTGATCTACTGTGCGAAAAGCATTTATACATCTTAAGTGTCCCACATGCAGAGTACTGAAGCGCATCTAGCGATCTTTCATTTCTTTCCCAACCTCAGCCAGTGCATTAACAACATGATCTTTTCTATGGTTAAAAATAAAGACTGCACTCAGCTTTATCATCCGCCATGTTTGTTTTTCTAACTGTTCTGCTTCTTGCTTTCATTACAAGACAGAATATTGACCTTTTTCGAGTATTAATAGAGTTCAGGTCGGATGAATGCGACCTGGCCGTTCAGACACAGGTCACATTTGAAAAGATCAGATTCAGAACCACCATAGCCAAGTGGCCTGGGTCGCACTCGAAAAAATGGGATCAGTGTTGTTGTTTTTTGCCCATATGCGACCTGTATGTGATCTTTTCATGACAGTCTAAACAAAAAAACAAACAAAAAAAAAAAAACATCAAATTGGGTCACTTCAGGTTGCTGTGTAAACTTGTATGTAAATGTATAGAGAATCAAAATCTACCAAAAATAAACTAAACACAATGTAGAGAAAAGCGAAAAAACTAGAAGATAATTGATAAAAGACAAAGTCCTTTTTCATGGCACTTTCAAATATGGCCTAAAATGAATAAAGAAAAAAAACTAAGGTGTATTAGAAAACTTAGACATTACCCAACAAAAGCAGTTTTGACGGATAAATGTTAGGTTAATGCAGTACTAAGGCCCACACAGTCATAGGAAGAACAGCTGACCGGAAAAGTGCACGTAAAAAGTCAGTTTTTCTCAGAGATCTGTATTACATTTTTAGGTTTTTTTCCAGCATCACTGCGTAATTGACACTCCCTCTCAGTTTTCAGAATTATGCTGTGATTGGGTCACTGTTGGAGCACTTCGGCACCATGTAAATGCGTTATTTCGACCGCTACAGGCATGTGTGATTGTTTAGGTGTCTGTATCTGTTTAATCTATGTCTAGAGCAAAGCCATATTTTGGGCAGCACTCTGGCTGACGACTGATCTCTGCTTCCATGTGATTTTTAGGCTGCATGTACTGAGCGCCTGCTCCCGCTTCTTTTCACCCTTTGATCCTCTGCAACCACCAACTGTGTCAAAGGTAAAGGTTTCTACAAATTGGCAGCCATGGAGTCACAGTGCTGTAAACACAAGCAAGCTGGCCTGACCTAAACAAAAACAGAATCTGGTTCATTGTAAAGGGAAAGATGAGAGACACCAGACCTAACAGAGCAGATCACCTACAGGATGTTTTTAAAGCCAGTTTGGGATTTTAATAGACAAATTTCATGGAAATAAACATGCTTTTCAGAAGATTGACTAGTTAAAGAAAACATAGAGATATATTTTTATCTTATGTAACAATCTAAAACCCAGTTCTGGGTACTTTAAAATGAGAAGAAATAATAAGAAGAAATAAAGAAATCATGTACTGTGCCATTACTCTATGCAATATACAGCCTTTAATTTCTAATATAAATGATTGATCATTTAGCCGTTTTCACAATGCTCCTTTTTTTAAATTCACACTTAAGGCCAATTTATGCTTGTGACACATCGCCTCTGCAACCGTTAAGTCTGCCTCTGTGCGCGACCACGACACCGCGCAGAGGTTCTGCAACCGTCGTTGCTCACCTCAAAAAAATCCTGACTATGCGTCAGACGGTCGCAAACCCGCGCAGACCTCAAGCGAAGTGCGCAGACAAAAACCCGCTGTGATTGGTCCTTGGTATGCCTTTCCGGCTGTCTGCGTGGTCGTCTTTCTCGATTCAGTGCCGGATCGTGCCATTTTTAAAAACCAAGGAACAACTACAACGGACAACTACGACGAAAGGTTAAGTTTGGAAGTACAAACACTTGTACGATGCCTCAGACAAATTATATAAAAATGCCAAGGTCTCTGCCAACTCCTGGAGGGAGATCAGCCAGAACCTTGAGTGTGATCCAAAGGAGTGTTTACAAAGGTGGAAGAGACGGAGAGATAAATAGGTGAAATTCTCGAATTGGCTCCTACTTGCGACTTGGCGGGAAACTGCTGTGCGTCCCTTGAAATTCCAGACCGACAGAGCAAAAACATACCAAGAAAAAAACTGGTTCGCAACCAGCGACATTTGATGTGTGAGCTTGCAGAAGTATAATCTGCCCTTTACAGACTGAATAAATACACTGCGAGTTCAAAAACTTCAGCTGTAAAAAGCAATAGTTGAGATAAAAACAATAGCCTTTTTTTCCCGTTACACATTCAGTAACTGTAAAGATGGTTCTTCTTCCAGTTCCATAAGGTCAAACATTCACAGGAAACAAGAATGAAGTCATTACCTGGTGATCTGACTGGAAACAGACTTGTACAGGCTGACAGGGGATGGGAAGTCTGCTTTAGATGTGTGAACAGCTAAACTGGATACCTCCTTTTCATTTCCTGTTCTGCCCTGCTGAACCTATGGAAATCCCAAAGAAATACATTATCAGAATATTTTACAAGACAAAACAATCGATGTCTGAGATTAGCAGAGAAACATAAGTCCTACAGTGATCTTGCTGGTCCCTGAGCTGCCTGTAGAAACCTCCAGCCCCTTTTGCAGCCTCTTCTGCTTGTCACAATAAGCCTTCCAGGTGTCCTCATTGAAGCCGTAGTTGAAGTAGTCGGACAAATCAGCACCTGCAAACCAATTCAACAAGACGTTCAGTTTATCACGTTGTTGTGTGGCTGCAACAAACAATGGAAAATATTATACACTTGATTGATTTTAGTATTTCCTGGATTTAATGGTTAAAATATTTAAAAGTTCAATGAAAAACTATAAAGTGAGTGTTCTCAGGCTTCATTTAAGTAACACTGCGTAACTTTTGAACCAAGTATCATGTATTATTTAAACTCTTAAACTAAACTGTTTCATTTGGCTTGTTACTACAAGAGGTGCTAAATTTCAGAATTACAGATCTAGAAACATAATGTCAGAAAGTTAAAGTATTGCTTTAAAGTTTAGGTCTACATAATTATTATTCAACTTTATTAATCTCACACTGGAGAAATTCACTCTCTGCATTTACCCATCCCCTTGGGGAGCAGAGGGCTGCCATTGTGTGGCGGCCGGGGAGCAGTGTGGGGTTAAGGGTCTTGCTCAGGGACCCAGAGTGGAGGCTGTGGGGATCGAACCAGGTACTTGCAACCTTCTCAGAGCCCAAGCGTGCTGCTCTAACCACTAGGCCAGCACTCCCCTGACATTGTACTATCACCGTATTGGCCCAAATATAAGACACGGTTTGTTTGTTTTTTTGTTCAAATGATGTGAAAATGTGGGTTCATCTTATAGTCGAGGTCTAACCAATTATACAGAATGATAGTTTTCTGGGGTCGCTACACGAACGCAACAGTAGAGGGCGCCGTTTTTTTTTTGTTTGTTTTTTAAGCCAGTGACCTCACTCTGGCTGGGGTCATCTTTCTATCACAACAGAAGCAGTGACAAGGATGCTACAAACGGAGAGTCGCTGGCAAGAACAGAGTGGATCAAAAGTCAGACAAGTTTGCAGACCTTGAGGTAGAGTTATGACGCCAATTTAAACAAATGGTGGTCAATGCAGCGGAGGCATCAAACGACTCTAAAGCAGCAAATAAATATGGCTTTACAGGGTACAATTTTAGAAGATGGCATGTTTTAAGAGAACAGGAAAAATGCGATCGGCAAAAGCTACAGGGTGGTAGTAGGAGAGACAGCGGGCGCAGCAAGGCAGAGGACATCGGCGAGTAAAAGCCTCATGCAGGTTTTTGAGACGTTCCGTATGTTCAGATTGCATTCGAGTTCAAGTGTTGTGAGATTTCAATTTAGTGTGTCACTGTGTTTTATTTTACTTTTCGTTTTATTGCACAAATCTTTCAGTGCAATAGTATTTCAATTAAATGGTTAGCACTTAGATATAAAATAGGTAATTAAAATAGTCTTTTTTTCTTTTGTTCCTAAAAACTGGTCCTGGAAAGAGGGGGTTGCCTAATAATCAGGATCGTCCTCTATTCAGGTCAGTACGGTACAGATTTCTCTTTTTCCAGCATCAATTTGTCTCTTCAGTCACCAACAACAGCCATTTACTTTAAGGGCAGAGTTTCCCCCCCCCAACCAGCTCAATATAGTAAAAAAATTACACAACTGAATGCATATGACAAAGAAGAAACAGCCTCCCAAGCTCTCTGGATCAGAGATGCTGATGGAAAGGAGATGATCCAGCTATTAAATTGATCTCCACTTTACAACCACCTTTGTAAGCATCTCATCTCTTTTGGTACTTTTTTTCCTTGCTGGATACAAAAATACAAAAGAACCCTGAACAGACCTGGTTTCCTCCAGGGTTTCTCTTCAAAGGACTCCATGTCCACCTCCAGCACAGGGATGCCATTAATGTTTCCAGGTGCATCCAGATCCACGCCCTTAAGTTTTGTGGTCACTAGAAATAAAAACAATATCTTAGAGGCTTTTTATGACGGAGAAAGAACCAAAACTGGGTTAGGTCAAGAGTCAAATGAGCCGGCAGATCAAACTGATGAAGAGCGCACCTTGTCCATACGGTCTTGAGCCTGTTGTCTTTATGTTGAGGTTAACAGGTGGGGCTCCATATGTCCTGGAACGAAAATATATACATTACAAACTTTTATTTTTAATCTGACAGTAGGAAATGAAGCTGCTTCAGCATTTATTATAAAATAAATTTACAGTATTCAGAATTGTAACATGGGTGAAACTTGTGCCAACTGAATAGAAGAAAAATATATACATATATTGCCTTTAAACTTGAGCATTTTAAAGCTCATTGAGACTAAATGTTTGTGGATCAGCACTACATGATTAAACTGATAGCAGATAATTTCAAAGTGTTAATAAATGTATGTTTTGCATCAAAATGAACAAAAAGACCCATAAAAAAATAATAATAAAATAAAAATAGGCCAAAAAAAAAAAATTTATCTAAATCGAGCTACTGGAAAAAAAAAACTTTTTCGTTTTGGTCAACATTTGGTAAGGAAACAACTTAGTCGTCTTTACCTCCTAAAACTTTTACTGTTTTTAAACAAGCATCAACTGATGCATACGCCATTAGTTAATTAACAACATTTTTTTGTCTCCGGAGTTCAGCGATGCCTCCATTAACATGTTTGTAATGTACATCAGTACACTAGGTGTGGGCATTTATCATGAAAAAATTTCCGGTCATGGTAAGAATTTTGATTTATCGTTTAAACAATAAATTAGAATAAACAATGAATAAAAAGTACAGAAACTGTGTGAACTGTCAGAGTTTCTATGTTTTTTGTTCTTTTTTTGTCTCATTATTTTCCATCGGTGCATTGAATAATTTTAAAATGATTAAATGTGGTTATTATCAGATGATTTGTCAATTAAATCATACTTCTTTATGAAACTGGCTTCCTAAAGAAACCACATTTGAAAGGGTATATTCTTCAAGAGTTTTCTTTGTGATTGTGGGGCTATGATGGCTGTGGTAAGAAGGCACAGCCAAACCTGAGAAAGACTAAAGAACAATTTTTATTTTATTGTTTTCAGGATAACATCACCCAATATTGGAATAAGATTTTGAGTGCACATCACTCAACCCTAGAAACAACCTTATCATAAAATGAGTTAAATTATACTTAAGACAACTCCCTATGACAGAAAACATGTTTTCTTAATTTTTTTCAAGTTTAATTTGGTTGTCTGTTTTCTTTTTGCTGCTATAGTATCTGTTTTCTGTACCTCTCATTTCATACAGGTATGGAAGCAGACTTCTAGGATTTACTGTATACCTTCTGTGTTGTCTATTTCAGCTGGTTTGATTTATTTTCTCTCTTCTCATGCACACTTTCCTGTTTCTATTTCTCTCCCCTTAGTTCTTATCCCGCCATTCTTTCTCACCTCCCTTTCCGGGTCTGTTGTATATGATTTGTCTCCCCACATAATGTACTATGAAGTTTAATATAAAAATACCAAGCAGAACCTAAAGGCAACAGTTCTACTGGTCTGCTTGTGAGAGCAAAGCTGTTGATTTATCAGCTGGGACATCAATTCCCAGAGCTATATTAGCTAAACAGGACACAAAAAAGAAGAGAGACTTACGTATACTGTGGTGCTCCAGTTTTAATGTCGCCAATGGTAACTCGGACATCATCATCGTCGTCATCACTGTCGCTGTCACTCTCCACGTCCTCACCCGTAGCTTCACCTGGGGCCTAAATAAGAAAAAGTGAAACATGAAATAAAGTATGGAAAGGGAAAAAAAACATAACAGAAATATAAAAAAATAAAAATAAAAAAAAAAGACAAAGAGGAACTATGTCCCAAGGCCATACCTCAGAGGCAACTCCATTTCCAGTGGCGTGTACATCAACAATGGCAGCATCATCTGTTGAAGTCTCAGCAGGTGCACTGGAGATTTAATATACAATCAGACACTTTGTATTTTTAATTAAATAAGCAAGAGATGGATCGACAGAGCTTTAGGAAGATTCAATAAAATTCACTATTTCCTTCCAAAATCCACAATATTTCCAAGAAATCTGGGCTTGAATACATAATACATGTAGATGACAAAATATGGCTCATCCTTGCCAAAGCAGGCTGATAATACTCAAGCCCTCGGTTATGTTCATGTTGAATAGAAAGGATGTTTATCTGTATACCACAACTCAGGACAAGACAATTCAAAAGACTTTCCATGAATTAGAGCCGATCCTCTAGAGTTAGTGTTACCTGACACTAGCACTCAGTTTGGTTTCTTCATCCTCTTCCTTGCTTTCTGATTCATCTGGAATACAGACAAAACATTAGTTTAGCTAAAAGCAAACTTAAGCCAATGTTTAAAACCACTTATAATAACCAAATGATTTAGAAAAGTATTCCACGCTAAATATGGAAAAATTAAAGTTCACACGTTTATTTGTAATTAATGCTTATGCTGTTAACGCTAAAGGCCTATGAACCAAATAAACAAGCGATGCTAGTTAGCATCCAGGCTAATGTTCATTATTTTTTTTCCCTCAGAGCCCAGAAAGGTTCGTTATTTGAACTAAAGGGATAGTAAAACATATCGTTGACGGTTGAGCGTAGGGTGCTTCTGGTTGGTTTTACCTCCATACAGCCATTCCTCCTCTTCATCCCCGGCGCTGGCGTCAGTAGTGGCTGTTTTGTCCGCTTCCTCCGCAGACATGTTGAGCTAAAGTACAGTTTATAGCGACAGTAGCTCCAACTGCCGAAGCAGCAAGCCTCAGTGACGCTTAGGAATGCAAAAATACGACAGCTATTTCTCCTATAAACGGTGAAATATAACTACGAACGTAAAACATTACTTCTTACATTCATTTTCAACCTGTGCAAGTCGGCGAGACCCCCGGCGGAAGAAGCTGCTGGGCCCGCTAAGGTCAGAGTGTATGAGCAGAAAACACAGCGCCCCCAGCTGGGCAGAGGGAATTACTGCCTCGTTTCAGATCTCTGCTTCTTTGCTAAAGGGATAGCTTGGGATTTATGTGGTGGGGGAACTGATTGTTCATTAACAAGTTACAATAAAGTTTTACGTAATATAGCTAATGTTCTTCTTATGTCAGTTAAAAACAGTATATCTAATTTCTCTATTCCAAGACTCCATAAGCCTCAAATTTAGCATGTGGACATTAGCGATAATAACTGCACCAATAGGTTCTTGAATCAATATTCTATACATAATATGTACCTCGGTGGAACTAAACGTACATTTCTCTTACAACATTTTAACAAATCTATGATTATTATTTGACATTCCCAATTCCTCCTAAATATAAAGAATTACAATTTAGAATAATAAATTACATATATCCTTCAAATGAGTACTTAAAAGAGAGTTTTAAATTTAATGTTGGGAATTGTGGTTTCTGTACAACTCAATTGGAAACTACTAATCATTTGGGATCAACTTCAGATCTTTCTATCTTCTAGGTCTATAAATATGGACGTTAATTCCTTACAAATAATTCAGTTTGGTTTATATATTAATGAAAAAAAGGTGGAATTCTTAGTTAATACTTTGATGATTATAACCAAATTATATATCCATAAACGTCGTTATACAAAATGATCCCTCTCATTCTCTGTTCTCAAAAAAGAACTTTCCACCTTTAACCGATGTCTGAAAAAGATGCAGAACCTTAAAGCAAATAAATTGTTTGAATTATTGGAAGAATTTCAGTTAGTCCCCTCTTCTTAATAATTATTAATTATTTTCTCTTCCTTGTTCTAGCCTCTAATTTTTATTGGAGTTAGTAGGAGTTGTGATCTTATTTGTTTCTTGTAATGTTCATTATTGACGTATTGTTGAGTTTGTCATTGATATTCTTTACTGATCAATAATAATTGATCAAAACAACAACAAAAAAAAAATTATGTGGTGGGATTTATTTGCTAGGTTGTTTCTAGAAAACGTTCTGAACTCTCCAAAATGTCAAAGTGGCTGATGTAAACCATACTTTTAACAACCTTTAAACAGTTAATCTTTGCATTTGGCAGTTATTTACAAAGAACAATATGACTACATTGGCAAGGTCTAGGAACAAAACAATTAATATGATTAATCATGATTAATCAATTAATGAATAAATTGTCAATTAATTTAGTAATTGGATAATCATAATCTGGAGTATACAGACCCTAAAATATGCCATTCGCTAAAAGAGCAAATCTGAGTTGAAATCAGGCGTAAAAATTGTAAAATAATCTTTAAACAATTTGCATTTATTACAAAAAAATTCCTTCCGTGCATATGCCTTATATAAAACTCCTCAAGTGGTATAACTTTAATTTCCCCTGGTTTATATTCTGTGAAAAATACACTTTTTGCTAGTTGATAATTAATAAATAATTGAAAAGATAATCAAAAGATTAATCAATTAGCAAAATAATCAATTGTTGGAGCCCTAGAAAGATCACAGGGACAGAATCAACAATGTTCCTCAAAGAAAAACAAGATGAAGATGAAACACATTCTGCATCTCCTGTTCTTAGTACATGTATTACTAAGGGTCATCATTAGTATCAGGATCATCACTGCTTCCATTTCCTGTTTAAATCATCTGTAAGGAGTTAAACAATGCAATTATGATACAACGTTCATACAAGGATGTTGCACATAAACACTTTTGAGGTGTTTAAGAATAAAACTGTTTTAAAGATAGTAAGTTCACTTTTCCCTAGCATAGCTGTCAGCATCAGCACACAGGTCCACTTACACTGAAACTTTATGCCAAATGAAAACAGTTATCCCCTAAGAGAGACAATAACTGCTAATAACCTGTTCACAGATCTCAAATTACAATATTCTGAATTACCCATTTAATTGTGTGGATGGAGCCACCTCCTGCTAGTGTTGCTGTCATGCTTGGTTTATTACTGAGAGTCTCTAGTGCCAGAAAGCTGCAATCAAGCTTAAACATATAACAAGAATAGGGGGATGCTCTAACAGAAATGCAAACAGTAAGGCATTTTGTGTGAATAAATGTGGATATGATGGGTAATGATCAAAATACTGACACAGATGCTTAATTTACCAAATACCTAAGTGGATATATATTTGTTGAGAAATGGGAACATATATCTTCCATATGCAAATATTGTTTTTAAACTTCAAGAAATAGTGTCATTTCAGTTTTCGAATTGCAAACAAATTTCCTTTAATGATTTAAAGAGTTTTCAATTGTAAAGCAAATTAAGTCTAAGATTAATCCAGAACTAGATTGTAAATGAAACAAATATGAGTAAATCCTTCTATTAAAATGTCCTAGTGAAATTCCAGACCTGCATCTAATTTATTGATGTTTTGGTACAAGAGTAAAACTGTTCGCATATGTTCTCCATCCAGTGTAAGTGAGTTTTTAATGCTTTTGATGTTTAATCAGTGTTGAAACCCAGGTACATTTTCCTTTGCATTGTAAAAAAAAATCCTACCCTGCTTGTGATGTTTAGATAAAGTAACAATCTGATGTTTTCAACTGGTATGATTTGTCCAAAGACATTTGAAAATCTCACATTGTTGTTTTCAGTTGTAGTTTCTTTTCATTATGCGATTTGATTAATTAGAATCTCTAAGAACCCACATTTTGTCTCATGTAGTCAGTTTTAGTTGTTCAGTTATTGTTTTTTTAGTTTCTACATTTTATGATATACCACAGGTTTACAGTATGGGGAGCAATTAAAGGCTGCGGGCAGGCCTGTATAGCACTTAGGAAGCATTATTAATAACATAGCTCTGCTTATGCTTTTCTTTCCATGACAAATGAAACTCCTGCTGTATAGAAATCTGAGATGGAACCAGAAGACTGCAGAGTCAGCATCAGATTTAAGTTGTGCTCAATGTGTTAATATATACCCCTAACAGACTACAGATGTCTAAAGCTCTCTTTTTTCGACTGATTCTTTAAAAGAAAAGAGGAAAATCTATATTTTTTAATCAGGTTTGGAATATTTCTGAGAGGTTCTTGTGTAATTAACATACTGAAGTTTACAGTCATATTCTTATGGAAGCGTACTGCATTTACCTGGAAAAAAAAAACAAAAAAAAAAACAGTTTTTCTGAATTAACGAGATAAACTGTAAAGAACCGAGGAAGGAGGGAAAACAACCAAGCCATGAGTAGGACCTAGCATGAAGGCAAAGTTGAAAAGTATAGTGGTTGAATCTACATACGTAAGATCATTTCTCATATTCTCAATCCCTAAAGAAAGAAAAAATAAATTAAACTAAACAAATTGATCTTTTTGAAGCTTCTCTGAAAGAAAGGCGTCTCTAGCTTAGAAATCTACCATAACAGAACATCCGCCATGAAATCACAGCAGCATTATCTCATTGATTCAGAAAAACACATTAATCTTTTTTTTTTTAAGATGAATGCAATACAATTCTGTATATTCTGTCATGTGCAAACAAATAAGGTTGATATCTAATAGTTTTTAAATTTTCCTTTTTCATTTCCTGGGTTGGCCCCTCCTGGGCGCCTTTGCTCTGGGTGTCCCTTTGGGCATCTGGCTCCTCTGGAGGGGCAGGTCTTTGGCTCTTCACAACCACTATTGAGCATTTTTCCTTTGGATAAACTTTACATGCACAAGTGCACTCTCACAAACAACTACAGGTGCTTGGTTCCAGGAACTTAAAGATTCACTTCCATACAGAAAGCCCATATACTTACCTTCAGCTACCACAGTATACATGTCAGATTAAATAATACCACTTATACTTCAGCGATAATATCAAGGTGCTACTTTAGTGTATCTCTTATACTGTATCCGTTGGTTGTGCTGTTCTTTTTACATCTCTTTGCAGGTGATGAAGCAGACTGAAGACGTTGTATCATTGTTTCCCTTTTATCTCCTCTTTCTTTCATCTTCTCTCCCTTTTCCTGTGTTTTTCTTTTCCTGTTCTAGTTACATTGCAGTGTCCATATAATCTGTAATACTACCTGCATGAATTATAATAAAATTATTTACATGCATAAATCAAGCAGAACACTATGGCGATAGCAGCGAAAGTTAAATCTGTTGGGCTTTTTTGGCTTCAAGACAGTTATTCTTATTGTCACATTGCCAGACAGGACATTGTAAAAAAACAAAACAAAAAAAAACATGAAGGGTGTTCTGATAGGATCAGGTTGGTCAGGAGTTTAATTCTATGGCCTTAATACAATGTGTGAGATTTTGGAAAACTTGGAGAAATGAAACTACAGCTCACAATAAATGTACCACTCCCACTCTAAACCATTGAATTCCAAAGTTGGGGTCATGACCCCCATTTAGGGTCCTTAATCAAACGTTTGAGGTTTTGAGCTCCAACACAGAACCAAAACTTAATGATAAAATACAAGCATCACTTCAGACTGGACAAAACAAACTACTTTGGCTGTTGATGCTCGTTGTAATATAAATCCATATAAATATTTCTATTCTTGACCAAAAATCTGCAGTGACTAGTGAGCTTGTCAGCGTGGATGATAGGTGAAGCTAAACAGAGTACAGCTATGAAAACGCATCAAAACCTACACAGAGGTTTGCCCACCAACATACAGATGAAACTAGAATAAAAATTGAAGTAGTGTTGCTCATCATATCTTTTGGGTACAATGCCCCCCCACCCCTGCCACAGACACTCTGGTGCACCTCTCTAAAATTGTAGGTGCCGCAGACAGGAGGCCTCTAATTGGTCAAATCTACATCCGCTCTACACTGTGCGTATTTCCTGTTTGGTACCTTACAAAAGGGGAATATCTGTGATAAGCTTACTGCGACACACTGCTGCAGGAGTATAACCAGTCCTTTAGAATGGCCTAGTCAAAGTCCAGACCTACATTGAGTTTAGAGTCCAAGGCAGGACTTTATATCAACCCCCCCTCTCTCGA